AGGCAACATCACTGGGTGTTTTATAGGTCTTCAAAGGGATTTGATGTGGAAGGCAGGGCAGAGGCTGTCAGTCAGATAAGTGCAGGTAAAGGAATATTGCTGAGTTTGGCTGATGCCAAAATGATGAAACATTGCTGCAGCAGGTTAGCAGTGCTGTGCACATCTGTGACAGCTGACACAATGAAATTATCTCCCCCAAGCAGGCAGATGGAGGCTGAGACCTAAGTCATGACCATGCTGGGAATAACATGGGTGCTGCTGGATATGGAGCAAAAACACAAACTGTTTTTATCACCCTGTCAGATTTATCTAGTGAGCTTCCTTAAAACCACAGTCTCCTTTCAACAACTCAACTTTCCAGCTGGGAGTTACAAATGCCTGAGCTCTCGTGTCTCTCAGGGATTCTCTTGTGCTGTATTTGGCCTTTTCTTCACTCTCTTCCCTCAAAGCCATAGCAATGACAGCAGTGGCTATGCATATGACATGTTTTAATTCCATTTGCAACCACTTCATGGCACAGTTAGCACTAATCATGGCCTGTGCTTGCCACAACAGAGTGGGTGCCTACAAGTCTAAGTGGCAGCTGGACACTCATCTGTTATGCATGAGCTTGGGCTGTGTCTCCAAACACAATTAATAGTTGTCGATCGCAGAAGTCTACAGCAGTTTGCTTCTGTTTTCCATAAGTTAATCTCCCCACTGTCCTTCTGTAGGGTCCAATTCAGCAGATGGATTTACCTCTTCCAGCCTGTCATCTTCTCACCACTACGTTGCAGGAAACCCCTAAATGCAGTGTGCCTGGCAATGGTCTTCTGAGGGACCAGCTATGAAAACAGAAATGCCACCTTAGCCACTGATATCAAATGACCTGCTGCATCCCTCTATTCTTCACAAAACACCCTTCTGTTTGGCAGGCTCATTAGCAGGAGGAGAAATTGAGTGTTTGAGGTATGGCATTCTTGTATCTCTTTAAAAGCTTTTATGGCTGTGATGACGAACGCCACTATTCCCTCCTGTTCATCCCACCACTGAGCCCAAACTGGAAGTGAAAATGAAGGGAGGAAGTAGCAGCTGCAGCAGCAGTTCAATTTCATGAATAGAGATAGCCATGAAACTTGGGAGAGGTTGAGAGTCTCTAGGAGGCAGCATCTGTACAGTACTACAAGGAGAGGAAGAGGAGAGGTGCACATATTTTCTTATGCCCGTTTCAATATGCTTTGATCTCTGACGTCTTCCTTCTCCCTTCAGTGTATAGGGCATGAAAGCACATGGAATAAAATTCCCACCGTTGCAAATCTCCAGGAGGAATGACTTTACAGGCTGTAAAATATTACTTTGACCAAAATTTCTAATAAAACTGAATATTTTTAACAGCTAAAGTAAAATTTGGTTCTAGAATCTTACCCATCTTAGAAATAGGCTTGAATAAATTATTCCCACCACACAAGAAAACTGTCTTGCTCATTGGAATTGTTGGGTTCTTCAGTACCCTTCCTTGGACAGTAAGTGCCTGACAATGAATGGCAGCTCTTGAAACACAACATTGTCTGCTGACCTAGGGGGGACTTAAAATACAGAAAGAGGACAGAGGTACATGGCTTAGAGCAGTGCTTGCTGTGACAGTACAGGACACTGATATTTATATTTCACTTACATTCAAAAGTTCTTGTGGGCTCCCTTTCCCTGGGCAGAGCTGGGTTTTCCTTAATTTATCTTTCAAGCTGTAGTGGAAACATGGGAGCTGTTATGATGGAAAGTGCTTGGAGCTACTGAAGCTCCAGGAACAGAACCCCCAGGGAGATGTGTCACACAGGACAGCTTTACATTGGATGTACTGCAGTGGTTTTGCTGTAGAATTAGGATCCCAGCCCAGATCTGTGTGGATCTATACAGGGTAGATATGAGATGGAGCCTCCTGAAGATAGCAACAAATCTCTCACTTGTCTTTTCCATACAGCAGGGACACTGGCAGGCTGCACCTGGGACATTTGCTCAACTCTTCCTATGGATGACAATCACCTGCACATACCAATGCCAGCGGCTCCAAAGTCTTACCCTGGGTAGGAAAAGGACAGATCCTCAAATGCTTGGATGTCACAGGCTGTTTTTCCATGGTGTTATAACACTGCATCCCCTTGTGCAGGGAGGCAGAGCTAAAGCATCACTGAGGGGAGACTGGACACATCCTTGGCATCTGTCAGGGCTGCAAACAATGCTAGAGAAGCGATCACAAGCCTTGACTTGATGCATCTAAAGCTCTCTGAATCCTTCACACCTCCTCAAAGCCTTTTCTCTTTCTCAACTGACATTTTTATAAAGTTCCCTGCTATTTAATCTCAGATAACCACATTGCAGTTTAAATCAGTCATCACCAATCTGTTGTGGCTCTCCAGATCAATTACTTCCCTCCCAGCTTAGACCATTCTTGAAAATTATTGCCACCTCCTATAAATATGGCTGTGAGGTTGCAAAGTGTCAGTTCTCCTTAGAAAGATGATTTATTTAAACAAGTACAGAAAGAAGATTTGGGCTATTTTTAGGTGTCTTTCTTTGATGCTATACAAAGATTTTCTCACCATGTTTCTCTGTTCAGCTGTGCTGTCTCTGACTTTTCACCCAGTGGAAGAGGCATCCACAACAGTGGTCCCATGTGGCTCTCAGCAAGTGTCTTACAGTATTCAGTGTTGTTATTTCTGATTTATTCTTGTGTTCTGCATTAGAAAAAAGGGGCATCCCACAAGACTTAAGTTGCCTGAGATAGGTGACACTGACTGCAAAGAGTTTAAAGTATGTTTCCCATGCACTTCAGCTGAAGCATCATTGAAAAGACCAGATGAGACTGTCCCAAAGTGAAAGCCACAAAATGTTGTCTGGAATAGGGAAGACTATTTGAATAGAATAGCTTCTTATCAGGAAACCATTATTATTTTGCAGGGCTAGAGCTACTTTTAATGAAAAATTATTTATCTGATAGAAGAAGGGTCTTTTGCACACTAGAATGAGGCTGGACTGACCTAGAATAGCCAAGAGTTTGGCAGATAAGGTATTAATGTTTACAGGAGAAGAGTTGAGCTCATGTGTCTGAGTTAGAATTTTGATTTAGTTTAGAGCCACTCACATGCTGGGGTGAATGATTCTAGGATGTTGTTATCAGCAATTTCATCTACAATCTCTGTCTTTTTGTGGGCAGTTTTAACAGGTTTTAGGCATAACTCAATGCAAAACGCACAAAATTTGTTAAAAGCAAAAAATATTAACAAAGTGGAAATGCCATCTGTGTCCCAAATGTTGCTATTATTGCCATTTTCCAGGACAGAGGTGAAGTACAAAAAGGTTCAATGACTTTCTATGTATTACTCAAGGGCTCAGCGGCAAACTGATCTGGGACACCTCATTGTTGGGGTTCTTTTCCAAATGTCAGAACTATTTACTTCTTCATTTTAGTTTAGATGCCAGAAACGACAAGCCTGAGTTTTATCCTTCCTAGAAGTCAGCAAGCATTTTGTCTGAACAAAGCTAAGCCACAAGAAACTGTGGGTTGCCTTACTCCCTGTCAAGCCTCTCACCTTCCCATGGAGTCAAGGCATCATACTTTTTCACAAGAGGTTATGGACAAGAAGTTCCTGCAGGCTCCTTTCAAAACTCTAAAAATAAGACTTCTCATAATATATAGCAGGACTAATTAAGTTTTTGCTATTCCTCCCACAGAGGGTTATCAACATAGTTTACAAAGTGTCATCTTTTAGCAACTGCTCAAGAGTTGGCTGTTTCCCATCTCATCCCCTCTGACACATTTACATGTTCTTTTTATAAAAATACACAGATAAAAAATCCCTCCCTGTTGTGTCTTAAATATTTTCAACTAAAGAAAAAAAAATCTCTTGCCAAGTTGTTCAGTAGCTGGAAATGACTTGTTATGTTCATAGACCAGAAATTCTTTTTTTTTTTTTTTTTTTATATATGACTAACCATGCTATGATTAATGGCTCAGATAAATAGGCTCAAAATAGGTCTGGCACAAATCTAGGGAAGGAGAAGGGTAAATGGGATATGGACTGGATGGGTCTGTTGCAGGACATCGGTGGCGTGAATGGCATAGCGGGCACAGAGGCAGGAAAAAATGTTTCATGCTATTTATAGCTCAAAATTACAGCTACAGATGGTGAGGCTGTCATGTAGCAAGGGCTCAGAACACGGAGAAAAGGCAACCTGCATTGCACAGACTTGTCTCTCCCTGAAGGCTGCTGCGTCTCTGAGAGGTACACATTGCCCCAAAAGTAGGGCAATTCATAAAAGCTTGACTGAAGCTTCATCCGTATCTCCTGGAGTGGTTTTGCCCAGTGCTTTACTATGCAACATATTCTGCTATCCCTCTTCCACAGGCAATATTTTCCAGCTCCTTTTGTTAGCTGTTATTCTGTTTACATTCAGCTCGCACTGTACAGTGATAGTTTTGAGTGGAAATGCCGGACACACAGTCTTAGCTAACGGGGACAAGCGTGTTCTTCAGTGGGCTCTGAGAAGTACAAAATCACAGCTGGTGAAGTTTGTAGGGGAGAGAGAGCTGGAGGTGTGGTGAAGAATGGGGACGAGGGGACACTCATTCAGACTGCTGATTCGGGCCTGATCACCTGAACAGAGCCCTTTCAGCTAAACTCAGCTTGAATAAATACAAATGCCAGGACATGCATTGAGTGGGACAGAATGGGAAGCTCTGTCCTCTCTCTGCCAGGAGAGGCAGGCACACGTCCTGGAAAGCAGAGACTCAGGAAGGGTCACGAGGCTGGATAACTCAAGGCAGATGGCTGAGGCAGGGAAGCAAGTCAGACACCACAGCTCAATGAGGAACATGAGGAATGGAAAATGAGCGGTCCAGTTTTTGATCAAGAAGCAGGTCACAGTCACAAGCTGTGCCAATACAGTCATATGGCCTCCCAGACAGGTGGATCAGAGAGCAGAAGGGAGCCTTGGACATGGCTCTCCCCATGTGAGTCTGCACATCCCTGAAGCACCTTTGCTGCTGCAGTCCCCATGGTTCAGCTGCATCCCAGAAATATCCCCTCCTCCAGGATTCCTGCTTGCTGCTGGCAGCAGGATGCAGCTGGCAGAGCTGACATGGCTGTGGGCTCTGCGGAGTCACGGGCCAGGTTAGCACAGTGTTTCTTACAGAAACCCTTTTGCAGCTGTGAGTGACAAACTGTGTCACTGTGAGAATACTTGCTAGCAATTTCTGAAGTTGCTTTGCCATTACTTTGTGTCTGAAACGGTCTAGTATGACTCATGTTTCTGAAATAAAAATAACAAGAGTGTAATTTCATACTTTTTGCCATGGTGAAACCTCATTAAAAATGATTAAGTGTTTGGATTTGATGCTGTTTGCACCTTTCCACCTCTGATGGCACAGGTTCCTGGGGATAAGACTCTTCTTTGGGGACTAAACAGAACTTTGGTTTCTGGGAAACAAAAATCCTTTTGACAAAATGTGTGTAATATTTTTTCTGATGGCCCAAAATAAGTGAAATCTTTCCCTGTGAGCAGTGGTAATACAGAAGGTGTACATAGGCCTCTGTCAGCAATACTTAAACATTAGATTTCTGCCACAATGCAATAGCGGAGCTGTGTCTCAGGGAAGCAGATGCTCTCTTTCAAAATGGGAAGCCAGAAAACTGTGTGGATGTAATGAGATGTTTCCCAGTTGCTAGAGCATTACAGGATTGTCATGAGGCAATAGAAGGCCTGCCAGTTCTGTGAATTCATCAAGGATGAGATGAATATTTCACCTTTTCCTCTCCCCCAATAAACTAAAAAAAAGAGCTTCTAGTGAGCTTAGCTTGCAAGTTACAGATTTATCCATATAGGCATTAGACATAGATGCTTTATGACTTCCTCTGTCCAACTTGTATTGCATATTATACAACTAACTGTAATTTAAATATCACTAACTGTATATTAAGCATATTAAACTATATTTAACCATTCTGCCTTATATATCTTTGCTTGTGCTAATATATTTGTCTATATATTTTTATAAATATGGATATGGAGTATGTATTATAGGGGGTCAGATATTTCCCATGAATATCTTTTTCTGAATGGAAACTTAGTCTTCAAGAGCTCTGAATTTCCCTATGGCACTTTTGCTGGAGATTTTTACTCCCCATTGGGAAAAATAAAATGCTTTGTTTTGAATTAGCTCAACCTAAATTGAAATACTTTGGTTTGTCAAATGGAATTAAAACATTTCATGAAGGGGCAGTTCAGCTTTAATTTATGTCCACAATAGTTACTATGTGCCTTGTGGACATTTTAATTTATAGCCATCATACTCCCATAATGCATCATAATTGTCTCTCTCATTAAATTTTTGCAATGTACTCTGAGAGTCAGATGGCCACAAAACATCACAGGACTCTGGCTGGGAACTTCATCGACTGAGCAACATGATGTATCACCCTCATGAGGCACCACAGCAGTTCCAAGGGACCCACAGTTATATCAAACCAGGCTGAAGCTAAACTTTTGCTGAGAAAGGACACATTTGCTTTTAGTAAAAACATTACTGTTTCAACATTTCTTCCAGATGTGCATCCAAAATAAATGTTGATAGCAGAACTTTCTGTAGAAAAAAACATATAAATTTTGACAACTTCTCTGTCTAACAAATAAGTTCTAGCTTCAAGGCTTTAAGCACTTTTCCCTCTTTGTTACACAGGAGCCTGCACTGTAGTTTCTGATGCAGCAAAGCATCAGTGTCCTGCCATCTAGGTAAAATTAAATTACTTGGGTAGGGAGTATGAGGGGAATCTATTGAGTTTTAAAAAAAACTTGAAACTTCTCCCCATGGCCATGAGAAACAATAGATCAGAGGAACCACAGCACAGAAACTGATAAATAGTAAGGATGTTTCTAACACTAAAAAATAATTATAAACCACAACAGTTAAGATTTTAATTTCAAAATATTGGGAATTTCAGAGTCACAATTGCCTTTGTGAGTCTATGCCTGATAGTGGCATTCTGGTAAGGTCTTTAATTACATCAGCACACAACACAGGACATAAAGCTTGGAAAATATTTACATTACAGCTCTGGACTGAATATATTCAGGCATAGAAATGTAACATATCTTGGAGTGATGCTGAAAGAAGGCAGAGATTGTCATGGGACGAGTGCTCAGGTGATGATGGATCATACAGTTGGTTATGAGCTAAGTGTCAGGAGTCTGTGGCATAAGGCCTGCACACAGGACAAAGGATTTTGACTCTGGTCAATTTTGCATGAAATTACAGGAATCCAGTACGGAATTACATAGGTTGGCCTTCAGAGAGGACACCATCACCAAGACCTTTTCTTTTATTAGAAATGATAAGGTAGATTTAAGGTAAGATTTTCAGGATGGTTTCTACCAAGGCTGGCACCCCACAAGAGAAAAGGCAAGAGTGATCACCATTGCCAGTATCACTTAGGATATGAGAGGTATGGACAGTGTTTGCAGAGGCTGTATTGAATCACAGTGAAAAACCAGAACAGTGATTTTGTCTGGGTTTAGGATTAAAGGACTTTCCACTTATGTGGCTTTCGTTTTTCATTAGGCTGTCAAGGGACAGGATGGTTGTGTCACTGAAATATGGAGATACAGGCTTCAGGCAGCACCAGGTGTAGGATTATGCACAACACCTGACTGCCCTTTCCAGTGCAAAGTGTTGACATCCCAGTGTGAGAATACTTTGGTCCAGTGTCTGGTTCTCTCTGTCCTTGAAGGAACTATCCTAGTTGGATAAGTTAGCTACATGTAATTGAGAATTGTGTCAGATCTAATGCCCCTTTAAGGTCTCACTGAGGACTGCTGTGAGGCAGCAGGCCTATGTTTAGAAGACCTTGTTAGGAGACTTATTTTGCCAGCAGAAGTGATGAGGTTTGCTGTATCAAAATTAGTGCGAGCTCTGGGTGCTGCCTTGTGCTGGCCCAGAGACAAAGTCCTATAGACTTGCTGCTTGTGACCTCCACATAAAACACCAGCTGTCTTCCCCTTCTCTTTGACTCTTCAAGGTCATGAGAACACAAAATTCAAGTCAGTTGAGGCCTGTTTGGTGCCTGGTGAACACCACCTTGCTGGTTAAAATAAGTGGTTTGAATTAAAGGCAATTATAATTAATTTTAGATTGATTGGTGTGCAGAATTGGTATTCTAGGCTTATGAAGAGTGTCTTAGTACTGGAAAAGTGAAAGGAAAAGGTGAAGGAAAATGAGAAAATTGAGTTGGCTATGATGATAATACAATAGTTTTATACTGATGTCATATATAGTTTATGTAGATGCGCACACACGTGCTGTAGCACATACAGAAGATACATATACACATTCTGGATTTTATGCAAAATAAGAAAAATTTCAGATAGCCAAGTTGTTCTGATGGATCTAAGATGTCCAGTGCAGATTGACTTACTCAGTATTTGTATTTGCTAATGCCAAAAGCCCACATGCTGCCACCTGACTGTAAGCAAAACATAAATAAAAATAAAGCACAGAAATGAAAATAAAATTACCTTTGGATAGCAAAAAATGACTCATAGGTCACACCCTGATGTGCTGCTGAAGTTGTGCCTCTTGGAATGTGGAATTTTCTTGGAGAATGTTTGGGCTGGTAGCTGTGATCTGTGCACAAAACTGACCATCACGAGAAGAATCTTGGTCAAAGTGGTCATAACAATCATACCAGGCACCATAATGTAAAGACATCCAAAAATTAAAAGCAATATTTTCCTCTGAAAGGAAGCCAAAAGCCTGTGCAGTTCCTAGAGAACAAAACTTGGAAAGCAGCCCAAAAAAAAGATCTATTGCATTGGTGTAGTGTACTGGTATATTGGGTACAGTCCGATGGTAGCTTAGTCAAACAGTAACCATGAAAGTTTAAGTATCTTAAAATTAAATTATCTGACTACTTTTGCAGTCAAGGCTTTTTTCAAGCGAATCAGGGAGCTTTCTGAATAGTGGATTTAATTTCTCAAGTTTTGAGGAATTGGAAGGATTCCAATGAAACATTAAGAAGCTAGTCTGCTGACATTTTAAAGAGATAAATGGCATAACAGGGGAAGTTATAGGTCAGTTAGGATGATATTGAGGCTGGGAAAAAATAGCAGTGGGACACAATCAAAAAGCAGTTAAAGTACAAGAATTCAATGAGTGTTAGTTAGTGAGGTTGCACAAAAAAGGGATTCTTCTAAAATAAATTCACTTTGTTCATTGAAAAAATTGTGTTGCTGGCTGACAAATCTAATTCTGTTAAGGTAGGTTTCAATTCCTTTCAAATGTGACTTTGAAATATTTCGGATTCTGATAAAAAGCTAGTAACCTGCCAAAGCACTATTCCACATATTAAAGAAATCAAAAATGAATGAAGTGACAAAAAATTGTATTTACCAGTGGGGAATTGTCAGTAAAGGGGTGTGTGTTTCTAATGTGGTCCCATAGAGGTTTGGGTTTGGTCTATCACTGTTGAGTACTTTCGCTGATAGTCTCAAAGTAAGCATAAAAAGCCTTTCTAATTAAGGTAGCTAATTGCACAAGATTTATGGCATAGTAAATAAGGATGAAAGCTTCTGATGGATGCAAAGAAAATTGGGTAACTTTTAGGCTGAAAACAATTGATTATACATGTGTATATTGAACTAATATATACACAGCAACCAAAGAAATGTATATGTGATAACACAGTTTGGGGTAGTGCCAGTGTGAATCCCAAGAAGAATATCCATGGTGGGGGCTGGGAAGTGCTCTCAGAGCAGCTGTAGTGGGACTATTTCAGGGAGTGTTTTGGAATTACACCTCTGGGGAAACTGCTAAGCTGGGAAAGTTCCTGTGTTGTACAAGGTCAAACAGAAATCTCATGTCCCCGAAATCAGCTGTTCAATTTGCCTGCTGAGAGCCTCCTGGCAGGCAGGCAAAGGCTCTGCTCAGGTGAGTTGGAAAGGAAGCTGTGAGAAAGCCTTCTTTGAGAGAGCACAGGCAGTGTGATAATACTGCCAGACGATTTCTACCTTCTTCAGGAGAACAGTGGCCTTTATATGTAGATCATGTTTTTAGCAGGGAAACCTGGAAATTCAGGAGGAAGGAAAGGTCAGCATGAACTGAGCAGGGATAATGGTCAGC